TTTTTGGCTTTCTCTCTTTCTCTCTCTCCTCTCTCTCCTTCTCTCTCTCCTCTCTCTCCTTCTCTCTCTCCCCCTCTCGCCCCCCTCTCTCTCCTTCTCTCTCTCTCTCTCTCTTTCCTTCCCTCTTCTTTTCCCTCTTCCCCCTTCCTTCCCTCTTTTCTTTCCCCTTCCTTCCCCCTTTCTTCCCTATTTCCCCTTCCTTCCCTGGCATTCTTTATTGCTGTGTCGTTTTCTGTGGTTGGGGTTGTAGCTCTTTGAGAATCTTGGGTGTGGAGTTCACTTGTGAGATGATAGGGCCACAAGGGCTAATAAACACATCATAAGCCCCCTGAAGCTACAGACAATCCCCTCAATCTACCTTAGGATACTTAATCAACCCTCTTAGCGGTGTCACTCTGACCTTCACCTTTGTGAATGACAGTGTAAAGCAAGAGTGCGGTGACATTACTGTGCCTCTATAATTGACAACAACATATCCCTCTTCCTCTCTTTGGCACAGCGTAGGGGTCTTGATGGGACATACTTGTGTATTAGGGAGGATAGGTAGGTTGGAGCAGCATTATGTAGGGACTTGTAAGCAAGCTCCAGAATTTTAAATTGAGCCCTCTATCTAAGTGGAATCCAATGCAGGGAATGACATAGCGGGGAAGCGTGGGAGGTGCGAGCGGACAGGAAAATGAGCCTTGCCGCTGCATTCATTGTAGATTGCAACGGTGCAATCTGGGAACACGTAAGACCACTGAGAAGAGTATTGCAGTAGTCCAGGCGAGAGAGAACAAGAGCAGGGACCAGCACCTTAGCCGCATCCGGGGTTAAATAGGGGCGGATGTGCGCTATGTTTTTGAGATGGAAATCGAAGAGAGGCAGCCAGAGACACTAGTCAAGATGGGCAGAGAGCGATCAGGAGAGGACAGGTAGGCGTGTCATCCGCATAGAAATGATAATGGAAGCCAAAGGAACTGATGAGTTTACCAAGGGAGGCAGTATAGATAGAGAACAGTAGGGGAACAAGGACAGAACCTTGGGGAACGCCGACAGAGAGTGGTTGGGGGGAAGAAACACTGAAAGAAACACTGAAAGAGCGCTGGGAGAGGTAGGAGGAGCACCAGGAGACAGCAGTATCCCGTAGACCAAAATTACGGAGGATGCGAAGAAGCTGTTGATGATCAACAGTGTCAAAGGCAGCAGAAAGACCAAGTAGAATTAGGATAGAGTAATGGCTGTAAGATTTGGCAGCAATTAAATCGTTGGATACTTTAGTCACAGCCGTTTTGACAGTATGACCAGCGCGGAATCCAGACTGAAGGTCAGTCAGTCAGTCAGTCAGTGTGGTGTACACAACTCTCTCGAGGATCTTGGAGGCAAATCGCAGTAGTGAGATAGGAAGGTAGTTGGATGGGGAGTTTGGGTCAAGGCTGGGCTTTTTCAGAATCGGGGTTACTGTTGCATGTTTGAAGGGTGAGTGAAATGTGCCAGAGGAAAGTGAGAGATTGAAATTTTAGTGAAAGGAAGAGCAAGAGAGGGAGACAAAGTGCGGATGAGATGTGAAGGAATAGGATTGAGGGAATAGGTGGTGAAATTTTAGTGAGAGGAAGAGCAAGAGAGGGAGACAAAGTGCGGATGAGATGTGAAGGAATAGGATCGAGGGAATAGGTGGTGGGGCAGGAGGACCGGAGAAGAGCAGAAACTGAGGGATGTCAATGTTTGACTGGGGGCGTCTGGGACTGATGCCTATTGCTTACCAGTGAATAGTGTGACGGTGCCAGTGGACTCCAGGCACCTGAACCACATCTATGAAATTAACTGGTTTTGGTGCCTGCAGTGTCTCTTTATTTAACTGCCCAGAACCTAGGGAGTGGTAGGGAGAGCACAGGGTGGCAGCAAGAGCTGACCGCTGTAATTTTTCTTTCTATATTTTATATTTCAGAACTCCTGCATCCTCCATTGTGCTGCCGTACATCCATGTGCAATTATGCCTCCGTGCTTGCACAGATTGCTGTTAAATCACTATTACGTAACTATGTTACTAGACACTCTGAGAAAAATTGTCTGTTGGCATTCCCCTCACAGATTGAAATATCTCCTCTTTACTCATTTGTGAATTGAATGAAGCAAATACACTACATTCTCCTTGCTCTATAACCACTATAGGCCACTGAAGTAGTTATAGTGAAAGGAGAAGTGTTCTTCATGTCAACACCCCAATGTAAGAAGTAGAGTAGTCAAGTCATACTTATTAGTTTGCTAATGGTTTGACAATCTACCTCACCTGGGATCTGCTGTGCTCCATGAGAACTGGCGGTGTAGGGCTTAGCTCAATCGCTGAGAGTGATCATCTGATGCACTCTGACCATGAGCGGGCGCAACACAGCTAATGGAAGCTCAGTGCAAGAGCTCTGAGTCTACCCATAGATGTACCCTTGTGGAAATACATTGGTAAGGTTCCAGGGCAGCATGCTGTATTGATTCTGACACCACAAATTTTTTGGGGGGGTCTTAAAACAACACAGTGATTACACAAACTAAAAATAGATAAACTTTATTCCATAGCAGCAGGGTCGGTCTGTAGTCAAATATCCACTGTTCGATCATCCTCGTCAACCTCCGTCTGTACACCTCTTCCATCTCCGTCTCTGTCAGTCTTCCATCTACCTCTCCCTGTCTTTGCAAGGGTCAGCGAGTGTGTGAAGTTGTCTTCGAACTGTGTGTGTAGTGTGTAGAGATGTGTGAACTGAATGGTTGTGTTTTGGTGACACTGTAAGTGTATGGTAATGCACTGGATTTGTTGTGAGAATGAGCATGTGTGATTTTTGGTTTGGTGTTGTAGTAATTGATTTTTTTTATGGGTTTTAAAGAGTAAAAACATGTAAGTTTTGTTTTTTCTAAAAGGAAGGAAGATTCAGAGGGCAATTGATGACCCACTCACTTGTTTTACTCCTATATCAGCTACACAGGAACAGAAATAATGCAATTTTGGTATTTAAAAAAATAAAAGGTAGGGAGAGGGCAATTGAAGACTCTCACTTGTTTCAACCCCAGGACAAAGCCTTTGCACGACTTCAGTCCGTAGCTCGAACTGGCCAGCCGGTGGGCAAATGCAATGTCACTGATGAATAAGCAGCAGGTGCTTAATGGCAATTACAATTATTAAGAGCCAGTACTGTACACGGCAAAGTAATTACGGTTTGTTAACATGTGCATCGCAGTTCCACTAGAGGGAGCCAGAGAATTATGCATTGTCTGGTTTTCAAGTTATGACTTGCGTAGTATTTTATTATTTATTAATTCTTATTATTATTTCTTTGGTTTTTGAAACTACAAAAAAAAAGTAACGAGCATTGTTACAGCCCAGAACCCAACAAATGGTTTAAGTTGACATTTCAAGAAGGAGCTGACCCATTTTTTTAATGTATAATATAAATTATGCATTAACAAAAAAAAAAAACAAAGTAAAAATAATGAATAATTTTAACATTTTTAAAGTGTTGTTCCAACCCTGGTAATAAAAAAAAATATTTTTACACTACAAATGCCCTTTGGGGCATAACTGTTTGATCCCTTGCTATCAAACCTGTAAGAAAAGTTTTTAAATTTGCCTTAATTCAGAAGTGGGTGAAACTCTCGGTGCTGATCTTCCATGACTCCTCATGACATCACCCGGCACTCGATCGGTCCAATCACAGGCTTTTCATAGGTTTAAAACTAATATCAGGAAGTATTACTTTACTGAGAGGGCAGTGGATGCATGGAATAGCCTTCCAGCTGAAGTGAGGGAGTTGAAGCATGCGTGGGATAGGCATAAGGCTATCCTAACTATAAGATAAGGCTAGGGACTAATGAAAGTATTTATAAAATTGGGCAGACTAGATGGGCCAAGAAGTGTTTTAGCCAGTCAGGGTGCTTTTTAGAGCATTACACATGAGATGTGAGAACCATCAGGTTTCTGGGACTTGGTACATTGCTGCTGTTATACTGTTGGAAGAAAAGAATGTTCAGGGACCTCCATATCCTTTAATTTATGCAAGAAATATAAATGTTATGGCGCTTGGAGTATCTCTTTAAAGTAAAAGGAGATATCAGTTAACATCTTCATATGGCCTTACATTACTCCAATAATTCTGTCCATTTATATAAATGATTACACATATATTTAAACATGTTGAACGTAGTGTGTTGGTTCGAAGCCATTTTTGTTGACTATTCGTTTTGCAGAAGCAGTTGTAAACAAACAAGATATCTTCTCATTATATTAGCAGAAATGCAGCATAGGCCGGGTCATTCACTGACCTCTGATCTATACCCCATTGTGTTACGACATTAAGACAAACATACTGGATGATAAATTACCCAGATTTGCGGTGGATAATGACATGGATAATTAGAACAGAGTGATTATGATTGTCAATCTCAAATATATTTAAACCAGCTCATTCACAATATATTCATATGGCTTATCAAAAAGCTATATCCACTTCTTACAGACTGCTGTATAATTCAATATCACACTCATACAGACTGCTATATAATTCAATATCACACTCCTACAGACTGCTATATAATTCAATATCACACTCATACAGACTGCTATATAATTCAATATCACACTCCTACAGACTGCTATATAATTCAATATCACACTCCTACAGACTGCTATATAATTCAATATCACACTCATACAGACTGCTTTATAATTCAATATCACACTCATACAGACTGCTTTATAATTCAATATCAGACTCATACAGACTGCTATATAATTCAATATCACACTCCTACAGACTGCTATATAATTCAATATCACACTCATTCAGACTGCTTTATAATTCAATATCAGACTCATACAGACTGCTATATAATTGCATGATTTTGCTATTACATGACGAAAAGTCATGATTTTATTAAAGACACGGAGGCGAGTATTGCATATCCCTTTTTTTTTTATTTTACTGTCCACCAATAGCAGCAAAGGATATAAACAGAATAAAAAAACAATGAACATACAGTGACATAGGCCCCTCCCTGCACATGTCCCAGTATAATAGGCAGCACTTCCTTTCCATTTCCCTCTTTCTGAAGATGCAACACTATACACAGAGTCCAAAACAGGAACAGCAATATAGCCCAGAGATAAACAAAAACGTAAAAACTTCAACCCAAGAGGAGGATCATAACATCAATTAACATGGAAGCATGACGATGACTGCCGACCAAACTGTATTCGCAGGGAGAGATCTTCACATGATGAAGCCAGACATTCAAGCGGAGTAGATTAGGCTGTGAAAACATAAAGAACAGGAGCCCAAGGGTTAAACCGGTACTTGAGGCTGACATCCAGGCCAGACAGAGCAAGGCCCCACCAATATCTGCAGAGAAGTAACCAGATACACCCAAACTGACATAGTTACAAAGTCAAACCCCTACCAACACAGATCCCACTTACCGTACCAATCAAAGCGATACGTGTCACCTATATATTGAAATATAAACAAGTCATAACCTGATTAGTATAAAATGGGTGGGACAATACTCGCCTCCGTGTCTTTAATAAAATCATGACTTTTCGTCGTGTAATAGCAAAATCATGCAATTTTATGGCAAGACACGGAGGCTCATATTGCAAGTTTAAAGCTGATCGACTACTGCCGCGAATGTATGAGGAACCGGTCTGAAGTAGAATTCCCGAAAAAAACGATTCCCTCGACCAGTCGGCCATCTTCATGAGGTCCTCCAGGCGCGCGCCTGAAGCCATCATTGAAGATGCTGAAGCCCCCCTGATCGAATGGGCGCTGAAAATCGCAGTGTCAATACCTGCTTGAGAGAGTAGCCATTTAACCCATCGAGACAAAGTGGTGCTAGTTATGGGTTGAAACGGCAGACGGGTAGATAAAAATAGATGGGGGGAGGATGCGGAACGGTGTAGCTTGGTGCGATCCTCATATGTGCGTAGGCAAGCCACCGGACACAGCGCCGGTGTAGTGGGGAAACTCTGATAAGATACTGACCTAATAGATGTGTTGGTGCGTCTGCTGATATTGAATGTCACTCCTTCAGGGGTGTATGATCTGACATTAAAGTCCAGTGCTCGGACATCCGAGACCCTTTTACAGGAGATGAGACAAAACAAAGATGAGACCAGTTTGGCTGAAAGTTTTCTTAGGGAGAGCGCAGAATTAGTGGGCCAAGAAGTGAGGAAGGATAACACCACTGATACATCCCAGGTCGCAGTGTAGCGCGGTCTGGGTGGCCAAGAGAGGCGAGAACCTTTAAGGAGTCGGCACACCAAGGGGTGCTGGCCCGCTGGGCAGCCATCGAACCCCTGATGTGTTGAGGAGATAGCTGATCGATATAGGTGGATATGCCTTACCTGTTTCAAAGAGGGAAGTCAGGAACTGTAGGACCACAGTTACAGGGGCTGAAACGGGTTCCATGTCCCGAGCCAGGCACCAACCAGCCCAAGTTCACCCCATATGCCCGTCTACTGCCGGGAGCCCATGCCGCTGCCAGTAGGCATCTAGTAGTGTCCGAAACTCCCTGGACCTCCCAGGGTCCCCTGAAATACGCCACGCCAGCAGCGGGAGGGAGCCATCTAACCGGAGAGGGTGGCAACACCCTGTCGGATCCTGTAGAAGTTCCTGGGAGGGTGGCAAGAGTCTGGGATGATCTACCATCATCCCGAGAATTTGAGGGAACCATGATTGTGTGTGCCAGAACAGAGTCACTAGGACCAGTTCGGCCTGATATCTGCAAGAGTGTAGAAGGGCGCGAGGGATCATGGAGAACGGGGGAAAGGCATATAGAAGGTCTCTGCTCCAAACCTGCAGGAAGGCGTCCACTGCCTCCGCCGCCGGATCCGGCCTCCAGCTGAAGAATCGAGGGAGCTGGGTGTTGAGCCGGGAGGCGAATATGTCTATGGCAAAAGGTCCCCAAAGAGACGATATACTGGTTCGTGTCCAATTTCCAGTCCCTGGCATCCGATAGATATCGTGAGCCCCAGTCCGCCTGGATGTTGTGTAGTCCCGGCAGGTATTCCGCTTGAACCACCAGGTCCCGGTCTAAGCAAAAGTCCCAAAAGTCTTTGCCAATCTGGCCAGGACCGCAGATTGAGTACCGCCCAAGTGGTTGACATACCTCACTGATTGGTTGTCCATGCGGAGGCGGATGCATGTATGGGCTCGGTCCCTCGCGAAGCTGCGGATCGCGAAGGAGCCTGCCAAGAGTTCCAATGCGTTGATATGGAGTCGGGATTCTGATTCCGACCAGCGACCCCCTGTCGCCACACCCTCGCAAGGAGCCCCCCATCCATGGATGCTCGCATCTGAGTCGATGGTGAACTCCGGCATGAAGCCGAAGATTGCCCTGCCGTTCCAAGCAGACAGGTTGAGGATCCACCATCGCAATTCGTCCTTTGTCTCTTTGTCTAGAGATACCAGGTCCGCGTAGGATGCCCTGGCCCTCAGGTAAGCTATTTTTAAGCGTTGCATCGCACGGTAATGGAGCAGATCCGGGAACACTGCCTGAATGGAGGCTGCTAGAAAGCCGATGAGGTGTGCCAGTTGCCTCAAGGTGAGTTGCGGTCATATGAGAGCTCTGCGGAACTCCTTGCATATTGAACGAGTCTTGGACCCTGGAAGGCTCAAAGTGGCCGTCTCCGTATCCACTAGGAATCCCAAGAATTCCATGCGAGTGGCGGGAATCAGGCACGACTTTTCTTGGTTGATAATGAACCCCAGGCGGGAGAGCAGGTTCATTGCCAGCCGCAGGTGTGCCAGAAGTATATCGCGATCCTGGGCCATGAGCAGGATGTCGTCTAGGTATATGATTAGACAAATGCCTCGACTGCGTAGCCAGGCCATAGCTGGGTGCAGCAGTTTCGTGACGCACCATGGTGCTGATGATAGGCCAAAGGGCAGGCATGTGAACCGCCATGTCCTTGTCCGCCAATGGAAACGCAGGAGATCTCGGGATGCTTCGGCTATAGGCACGGTGAGATATGCATCCTTGAGATCCAGCTTTACCAACCAGTCCCCCTGAAGGAGTAGATCTCTCAACAGATGGATACCCTCCATCTTGAAATGGCGGTACCTGACCATAGCATTGAGTGTGCGCAGGTTTATGACTGGGTGCATTTGGCCGCCCTTCTTTTCCACTAGGAAAATATTGCTTACGACTCCCGTGGAGTCTGGGGGTGTCCGTTCTATCGCTTTCTTGGTGAGGAGCGAGGATAGCTCTGCGTCGATTGACCTGCGATCCCGGATGGAGAAGCAGATCGGTCGAGGAGGCGGGATAGTTACAGGGTTCTATGTGGAAACCTCAAATGGTGTTTAGTACCCAGGGGTCGGAGGTTATCTGTGCCCAGGCTGGGAAAAAAATGTTGGAGTCTGCCCCCTACATAAACATGCGAAGAAACATGAGGTATGAGTAAACTCACCATAGGGTCTTCTGGAGCTGGTGTTATCCCGGAAACCTCTGGATCGCCACGGGCGTCCGCGTGATGGGAAGAATGGGGAGCTGGCATTTGTCTCCTGGAAGTTGTAGCAGTGCTGAAAGGAGCCTTGTCCCGAGCCACGGGACTGAAAGTAGGAGCGGCTCCTGGATCTGCCGGCCCTGGTAGAGACCCTTCCCTGAAAAACCCGTCTCATGGAGGTTTGGGCCTTGTCAAGGGCCGTGAATGCACCCACAAAGCGCCCCAGGTCTTTAATGAAGGAGTCGCAAAATAATAATCCTTGGGCGTACTTCCCAGCCTCTGTTAGGGCAAGGTTGTCCAGTTTAGGCTCTATTTTAAAAAAAAAATGGCTTTACGCCGTTCAATAGAGAGGGAGGTGTTTACACTCCCGGCAATACAGATAGCCCTTTGGACCCAACCACGGAGGTCTTCGGGGTCAACCATATGCTTTCCAGCTCTGGCATCCACTGCCAGTTCGAAAAGTTTTGCCAGTGGGCCAAATATGTCTAAATGTTTATCCTGGCATGCTTTCAGGGCAGAGTCTAGGCCCTTACGTGGGTTCCAGCCCATTTTAGTTAGGAACTGGGTTATTTTCGGATCAACTTCAGGGGTATCACAGATTTTATTAGACACCGTAGGCCTTTGGGCACTCTGCCCTCAGTTTGTTCCGTACCGCTTTACTGAGAGGGCGTCGTACCCAAATTTCAAGGTACTTGGCTACATGGTCCGCTGGGAGCCACTCCGCCGACCTCGGATGGTGAAGCTCATCCGGGTCAAAGAGAGGTCCTCCCAACGGATCCAAGAGGGTGGACCCCGTGGTTTCAGGGTGAAGCGCCCCCGTGTCACCTCTGGACGTCTCTGCCTGAGCAGAGGGAAGGAGGTCAAGGCCCAGCTCAGCGGTCTCAACATCAGAGTCGTCATCCGACTCAACCATAGCCTCCTCACCTGACCCGATTTCTGAGTTGGAGTCACTCTCAGGTTGTGCTCTAGCACATTTCCATAGCTCCGCCCGTTCTGCCTGACACGGAAATGCTCTTTTGCGTGGGTGGGACACACTTTCTGGGGCGACCGTAGGTACGCCAGTCATAACAGTTCTGGAGGCAGAGGGGTGTCTGGATTTATGGGTCGCCGCCTTAGGTGTGCCCTCAGACAGGTCCATAGTGGGATGCGGGAGAGGCATCGTGGAACCTGACCTTTGCGCGTCCAAAGGACGTGGCAGGAGGGCCTGGGAGATGGTATGGGAAAGGGTAGAAGACATGGACCCCATGGCTGCCATAATGGCATCTGTCATTGAGCGCCAAGAATTGGTCACCTTCAGGTTGGGTGGGTCTACCTGCCAGAGTAGATGGCGTGTCATAGATGCCTCTCCCAGAGGCAAAGGGGCATCTACCACCCGAGAGGGTGGTGAGCTGGAAGGTATCCTGGGTTTGGGCATATTGGATGCAGCTCAATATTCCTACCAGTGAAATTACAGAGTAGTAAAGGTTAGTCACCCAAACTATAGGGAAAAGGAACGACAGGGATCTCACCAGGGTCCAGAGGCACACAGACACACACGGGGTAGTATGTGAGATAGGAAGTCAGAAAATGGCCACCGCAAGTCTCGCAAGATTCACGGCAAAACCAATGAATTCGACAATAGAAAAGAACCGAACATGCGGTAAAATAGGCGAATTCGTGTGAATAAAACAGACGAATGTAAAAACAGGCGAATGAGTAAAACGCACAAACCAATTAGTCGAACACAGCAAATAGGCGAATGTGCTATATGCCGGTGAAACTAACGAATGGTTTGGATTCATGAATTTAGCCGGACGGCATGCTTCATGCACAAAACTACAGAACGGAGAAAGCAGCGCACTTCTACAGACTGCTATATAATTCAATATCACACTCATACAGACTGCTATATAATTCAATATCACACTCCTACAGACTGCTTTATAATTCAATATCACACTCATACAGACTGCTATATAATTCAATATCACACTCCTACAGACTGCTTTATAATTCAATATCACACTCCTACAGACTGCTATATAATTCAATATCACACTCCTACAGACTGCTATATAATTCAATATCACACTCCTACAGACTGCTTTATAATTCAATATCACACTCATACAGACTGCTATATAATTCAATATCACACTCCTACAGACTGCTATATAATTCAATATCACACCCATACAGACTGCTTTATAATTCAATATCACACTCATACAGACTGCTATATAATTCAGTATCACACTCCTACAGACTGCTTTATAATTCAATATCACACTCCTACAGACTGCTATATAATTCAATATCACACCCCTACAGACTGCTTTATAATTCAATATCACACTCCTACAGACTGCTATATAATTCAATATCACACTCCTACAGACTGCTTTATAATTCAATATCACACTTCTACAGACTGCTATATAATTCAATATCACACTTCTACAGACTGCTATATAATTCAATATCACACTCATACAGACTGCTATATAATTCAGTATCACACTCATACAGACTGCTTTATAATTCAGTATCACACTCATACAGACTGCTATACAGTTGCAAGAAAAAGTATGTGAACCCTTTGGAATGATATCGATTTCTGCACAAATTGGTCATAAAATGTGATCTGATCATCTAAGTCACAACAATAGACAATCACAGTCTGCTTAAACTAACAACACACAAAGAATGAAATGTTGCCATGTTTTTATTAAACACACCATGTAAACATTCACAGTGCATGGTTTAATATGTTGTTGTTTTAATCACATATTTGTTTGAAATGTGCTGTCCTTCAGATCAATGAGAATTCTCTAAGTGTAATCCAACCAATTGATTGTACTCTATATCATAATTAGCATTCTTTATTTTAAAACATTTTTATGCATTTTGGGGTTAGAGAGTGCATGGAGTAATTTAACCTTTCTTTACTGCCCCTTTATTTCTCAAATTAGTTTCATTGTGAATTTATTGTCTTCTGTCTCTGTTGTTCCTCGTGATGTTCTTGGTACAAAGTCTATGTTTGCAGTGTGTTTGATATTTCCATGGCCCCTGCTCCAGATGAGCATGAAAATGAAACAAATTGTGACAGAAATAATGAAAGGCAGGAGGCCCCCTGCCGTAATGACCACTAGGAGATGGCTGTGTAACAACGGAAAAGAGGGCTGTACTGTGCTTCCATTGAAAGGGGTGACCTCTAGGTGCAACCACAAGGAGTCATTGCCAGCGACATTGCTGGCCCGACACAGGTATGCTCCAGAGTCTGACATGTGTACTGTCTGGAACTGGAGTGAGCCCCCAGGAAGTACTGTAACTCTTTCAATCCCTGGCACTGATTTTGGTGTTGCCATTCTAGAATCTGGTGTTGTTTCAGTCTCAGAGTCAATAACTTGCTCCACTGTTTCCAAATTTGATTTGTACGAGGAAAGTTTTTGTGGCAACACCCAGTAGGTGAAAGGTTCTGGGATCCCTTTGCTTTGACAACTGATAATAAGCCTGTCACCTTCCTGCACTTTTAGCTCCCCTGGTTCAGGTTCCACAATTCTAGGAGGTTGGCACGTAAAGAGTTCTGGGCAGAGGAGCTCAGGATGGTCAGGGATCACCATTCCCTGTAATAAGTCAGGGGCTGCACAGACAGGAGGTCTCCCGCCAAAGTGAAGTTTGCGACTTAGTATCCAACAGAGTCGACAGTCACAAGAGAGTTTGGTTCCAGAAAGCAGCAGAGTCTCCAGAGAACCTGAAGAAGGTGGCAAAGCATGCTCTGATATCCAGTGGAGTGGATTGTCTGACAGATCAAGTATCCGTAGGCGGTCCAGACCATGAAATGTGCCTGAAGATATGGAGATCAGCCTCCCTCCAGACAATCGAAGTTCCTCCAACTTTTTCAGTGCTCTTAGACCTTTGACCTGTAGGTCAGAGATTGGGTTTCTGGAGAGGTCTAGTCTCCGTAGGTAGACCTGGTTTCTTAAGGCTTCTTCTGGAATTGAACTCAGATTGCAACGCGTTAGTGACAAGGATGTAAGATTTAATCCAGATAGACTGAGTGGCTCAAGTATTTTTAGAGAGGGCCAGTGGTCCATATCTAGCACACGCAGCCAAGGCAATCCTGTATAAGAAAGATTGCGCAGGATTGGACTGTTAACTCCACCCAGCCTTAAGTCAGAGAGCTTGGGAAGAGCAGACAGAGCCCTGGTGGGAACACTGCCTAGTTTGGTTTCTTCCAGCCCTAATCTCTGTAATTGGGGCATTCCCAGAAAAGCACCAGGAGATATAAACAGCAACGGGTTGTCCCCAGCCTCCAGGTGTCTAAGCTCTCGCAGCCCTTGAAACGTCTGGTCCAGCAGTATGACAAGTTGGTTTCCTCGGACATCAAGCCATGTCAGATCTGGTATTCCTGCAAACACTCCTGAAGGCAACAGCTTAAGTTGATTGTGGTGCACCAAAAGGATGCGCAAACTGGGCAATCCACTGAAGACTCCTGGCTCCATCCTAGTCAACTGATTGTGACTCAGGTCCAACTCTTGAAGATCCTGAAGGTGGGAAAATACTGTGGGCTGAACTGAACGTATTCTGTTGTAACTCAGATCTAGGAAATGAGAGGCCAGAGGTATCTCTGAAGGAACTAAACTCAAGAGACGTTGCCTGCATAGAGTAGCGTTGTCCTGAACAGGACAGTTACAAGATGGTGGACAGCAGGAGCAAAATGTTCTTAACAAAATACCCAAGAAAATCAACATAAACGTTTCCGATTTTAAGAGTGGCCTCGTTAAAACCATTCCTTCTGCCATCTTCATGCAAAAAACAATGGCAAGTACATCAGTCTGGACATTTTGTCTCTCAGTGTTGTGTAAGAAGTGTTATTCCCAATTGGTTCTCAACTGTTTGACTCCATGGACCTGAGGGATTTAATTAAGAAAGATATATTTAAAAACCAACAAAAACGTATCTGACATATTTCCTAATGCTAATAATTCTGTATTGTGCCTTAGATGAATATTATACCTAAACTCCAAAAGCATCCCATGTCAAATTGTAATTTGACCAGTAAATGTAAAAAATAAATAAAAATATAGCATATATAAACCAAACACAAGGACAGATGCCATTTTTGGTATTCTGTTACACTGTATGAGCAGGGCACTAATAGGGAAGAACAGTGAGCAATTCTAAAAGGTTGTAACATAGAGAAGCATAGAAAAAAATCTTGACTTGGTCAACCCAAATATAATTGAAATTTTTCTTATTGTAACAATAATCAAAACCTTCATTCTTCAAAACATTGCTTGTACAAAGTCAAGATGCTACCAAAGTAAATATTCCACAACAGTTCCCATCTAGATAAATCCAACTGGTTCTCCAATGGTCTTGGCCTTCCCAGGTTACCTGCAATTCCAAATCTATGCTACATTATTTTCACCCACCTCTGTTCTCACAACTGTCCACTTTGACATTTCTTTCACGGGCTGCTTATTTTATTTATGATTAAATGCAGCTTTTTAGTTCTGTCCTACAGAGCCCTCCATTACTGTCCCAAGGTCCACACAATGTATTTAGTCAGAAGATAGCTATTTTTCCCTATGTTCTACCACTGACCTTTGCCTGTATCACATTCGCATCTCTAGCACTCTTTTTCAGGACTTCTCTAGGACTGTTAATGCTTTAAGGAATGCCCTATCTCTCCCATCAGACTGATTCCATTATCCAAAAACACAAATGATGAAGAAGAAGCAGCCTTATAATGTAGTACCCAAGGATAATGGTAAGTATACTGAGAATAAAAATGGTCACTCACATAAAAAGGAGCTTCTTGAAAGCTCTAAAGTCTCTCAGTGTACTTAACATTATTTGTGGACACATGATGTTTTTTTGAGTCCATCATCTCCTTTTGTTAACTGAAGACTACTATTATAGACTGTAGTGCAGCATACTTAAGAGAGTTCTTCATATTCTATGTTATTTACTCTATTGGTGTTGTTCATATTTTTACTTATTACTTTTGGCTCAGCTACCTTCCATTTGTCTACATTTCCTTAGTTTAAGGGGAGGTGTAGAGGGACCCCACATGTTCTTAGGTTACTTGCAGCCCGATTAATCTCACTCCCTTTACCTCTTAAGCACTCCCCATCCTCTTTGTGTTTTTGTGTGATACCATTACCCCGAGCCTTTTAAGGAATTCCTATAAAACCATTTCTTCAGAAATTAAATACCAAAACTTAGTGGTGCACTTGGACAAATTCTTAAAGTGATTATTCCTAAATCAGCACTGTCGGATGAAGCCTAAGGAAGGCTCGCAAAATGCGTCACAAGGATGTCATGAGTAGGCGGAGCAGAGATTCTGAGTTACTGGAACCTGAGATAATTTGGAGTTTTATGTACTTACTAAGCGTGGATGTGGGTACCCGATTGGGAAACAAACCAGAACATGAGGTTAGTTGCTTTTTAACTTTGTGTCTAATAAATATTTTCATTGGTACTGTGTCACTGGGTTCTGTTTTATTCTGGTCTCTATCTGCCTAAAGATCCCAGCTGAAGATAAAGTGTGGCTGGTGAACTGACAATTGTGGGACTTCTCCCTCTCAAGTGGAGCCAGGATTATCCACAGCCAGAATTGATAGGGCTCTAGTGTGTGAGTTGGACCCACATTCTTTTTTGCACTAATGTGTATACACTTATTTCAGGTGGTCTGTGCTATTATGTGTATATATAATTATTGACAGGTCTGGGAAGAATCATTTATTGAAGTATTTGTAGCAGCAGGCCACTTATTTTTGGTGTTTAATTTGTGTGTTTCACTTTGGTGTGAGTGCAGCTAACCGCAGTACACATTTGTTTTGATTAATTTGTGTGTGTAAGGACATATCTATGTTCAGATATTGATTGAAGAGCTTTCCCCACTATTTGGGGTATTTACCCACTTATTTAGGAACCTGCATCAGATAACGTCTTCATTTTTCTCTCTACTAAAATTCATTTCATTGCACATAGTATATTAGTACACTGTATGTTCTAACACCTTTCAACCTACTAACTCATGCTAATGCCATGATATATTTATGTTATATCTCAGACATATTATCTTTTGTTTTATTATATACTGTACACTCGACTTTAGAATGCAAGATTGTTTGGGCAAAGCCATGGACATCTTTTGTTTTTTCTAGTAGTAATCCCTTATTATACAGAACTGTAGAACATGTTCCTTTATAATTTGAAAAATGAAATTGATGTCATATGTTGCAGTTTGCTTTTTAACAGATTTTACAGTATTAACACACCCAGTGCTCACTAACATTGAAGTTCGCTCCAGAAGTGGAACATTTTTAAAGAAAAAGACAATTCTATGAAACCTTGAAAATTCTAAATGAATCACATGGGAAATATATTCCGAGATCAGAGAACTATTTCATCACTGCAAGGGACACACTGCTGTGACAGTGATTCATTTACGACCAAAATGGGGTTATGAAACTTTTGGGGTAAATAATGTATAAGAACATGATAACCAACTTGTTATTTTTAATAGTAACCACAAAGCCATGTCTGCGTAAATAATTGCCTCGTACACAGCTTCAGAACTGACGATTAGTCAGGACGATAAAATAAGACCCAGATTTTTTTTTTTATCCTTTAATAAGGAAACCTTTAATAAAAAACTAGTGGACAAAAGCTGACGAATTTGCAATGTTGTTTAAAATAACTACAAAGAGGAAGAATCTTTAGATCTTACAAAACCACACCTATTCACACCTTGCACACAGGTTTAAATAACCACACACTGTAACTGTTAACCACACACTGTATAGTTCTGTATTACTCCACACCAAAATGTGTACATAGCACAGAGACCTCCAACTAAAAACATACATACTTTTCACTTATCAGTGTATCATGTGTTATTATCTAGAAGCCATGTTAAGAGCTCGGCCTTTTTAGGAGATTTGTGTATATAATTCCCTGCATGCAGCTGACCTGTTTTTTTTTTTTTTGTTTGTTTTTTTCAAACTGGGGGAATGGGTTAAATTTAAAAATATCAGGTAAAAACTGCACTATACTTGTAAAGATATCTTAAAAACAACAGACCATTTTAATATTTTAAATATAATACAGTATATTGAGTGTATTGTTAGGCTCTGACAATTGAATGTGTTTTTTTTTTTTTTTTTTTCATTTTGGTGATGTGTCATCCTTAACTTCAGAAAAAGGCATTTATTCCTTCACAATCAGGCCTTTTCCATATCTGGAGAGCAAAAAACGGGGCGCAAGAGAATACTGAGAACGGGCAGCTGCTGAAATAGCCTGCCCTTCAGTGGGTCCTCGCTCAGATTTCCAGCTGGTTTTAGCTCATCTTGTGCTATTACAGAGAGAACATCTCTGAAACATATCAGACTGGTCCCACCCATACGGGCAGCCCAGATCCGAAATACCAACAGGTTCCCTCTGCACGAGAGACACAGCAACTCCAGACGATCGTTTCAGCCTTGTTAGGCATCCTCAGTGAAGCATAGCTGATATCTCTCTAGGCACCGTCAGCAAGGGGTCCACGTCTGGATTACCCTTTAAACCTATGGAGAGCAAAAAGCGGGACGCAAGAGAATACTGAGAACATTTATTCCTTCACAATCAGGCCTTTTCCATATCTGCTGTAAAACTGTCATACTATCTTTCAGCTTATTCAGAATGTCTGTGACATGGCCTTTTGTTGTACATTATATTAAATGGACACTATAGTCACCAAAGCAACTACAGCTTATTGTATTTGTTCTGGTGTGTATAATCATTCCCTTTTTGCTGCAAAAACTGGCTACTAGAGGTGTTTTCTGGGGCAGTGCTGCGCAATGTGCAGTACTGCCATTCAGTGTATCCACCCTCTGCATGCAGAAACTAAACTTACCTCATAGAGATGTATTGATTCATTATATCTCTATGATGAAATGCTGATTGGCCAGGGCAGTGTTTGACTTGTGCTGGCTCTGCCTCCTAGACAGTCAGCCAATCCTGTGGGAAAGCATTGTGATTGGCTCACAAAATCACTTCTGATGGGGGCGGGGCCTGGCCGCTGAGCTGAGCGGACGCAGGCAACATCAGCTCCTGCCACAAACGAGAAATTAAACCACATTTACCTGCACAGCCATCTAAACTAGACACACACGAGCTGACATTCGTCAGGGGAGCCTGAGACCATCATAATGATGCCACACAAGTGGATATCCCGCCCGATACTGCTCGGCCATCACATGCGGCCTACACGCATGGGCGGCCCGGGGGAGACGGCCACTCTCCCGCCGCCACCACACTCGGCTGACAATCTGCAGAGCCCACGTTCCCCCCCTTATGGACCGGTGGGGGTTATCCCGGCCCACACCGACCTGGCTTACAAGATGCCACACACATCGATGACACCAAGCGGCCAACTCCCTGCTTGAAACATGGTGGCGGAGGACCACACGCCCAAGCTAGCGCCCTACCAGCCACTGCGGGGGAGGGACGTGCACCTGTACCCCCAGGTGCCGCCTCCCAGGAAGCCCAGCAAAGGTATCGGCTGACTCCATCGACCACATCAGCCACACTCCCCGTTACCACACTCCACCATATGCCGCAACTGCACTGATGAATCGATAATGGAGGGACATGACACCTCAAACCTACTGCCGGTGGCCATTTCAGGCATTTGAATTTGGACTTACCCTCACATGTGGGACGTTGGACTGCTAAAATTATGGACCTAAAAGCAATGAGTAAGCTATCCTCTTGTCCCCCACCTAGGTTCACGTTAATGGCATCCGGCAAACCTCACTATACCTAGTCTTACCGCTGCACAGGGTGGCTCTGCAGGGAAGGGAGATAAACAGCCACTATATCAACCTACACAGTTAGCTTGCCCATCGCCAGCTCAATGTGTATGCACCTGTACGTTTAGATTCAACCTGTTATCAGTCTAATAATGCTACTAGCTAAAGACAGCTGACTTGTATCTTATTTCAACCTGTTTATAAAACGCTAGCGTTAATCGACATACAAAAAATAAAAATGAGGCATTAATTCTCTGGAAATGTAATCAAACAATGCTTTCCCTGTCTTAACCCTAACCCTGTAAAACACCCATGCATTTCCCTTTCTTTATTCTGTACCCATCACATATGCCTTAATAAAAGAAAGAATTAAAAATAAAAATAAAATCACTTCTGATGATGTCAGACATGCAGGCAGTTCAGAGGCAGAGCCAGCAGCTGCAGACTTGAATACATGTACGAGTTTACTATATTTAGGGAGGCATGGGAGGATAAAGATGGGCTAGATGGTGGTTTTAACACTCTAGGGTCAGGAATACATGTTTGTGTTCATGACCCAATAGTGTTCCTTTAAACCATTCATTACCTGTGAGATAAACCAGTAGATAAGGTTCTTGTGGCATCATCTCAGTAACAAGGGAACTCTGCCTTTTACCCAAGGTGAATAAAATTAATCCCATTGCTTATTTTAACATCTAAACATCTAAACCCCAGGACGTACTAGCAACAAGCCCACTTTTCTTAGTAACTACTTACTATTATAATCATTGTTCTCTCCTGTAGTGCTAAAGAAAAACAGCATCATTGCAGCATCAATTTATGTCAGAGTTCCTTTAAAATTTTTATAAAGAAGGCGACATGTATAGTGAAAACTCACTGAATCGTGTCTTCCTTAGGGTAGTCCTGCATACGCCCAGACAATTTTTAGCTGAAAAGGTTTTCTTTTTCTTTGTTTCAGAATTAGACAAATTAGGACTTTGAGCACAAAAAGGTGACAGCCAATGACTGTTGACTTAATGGAAGTGAATAAAAGCTTAAATCGTACACTTTTTAAATGGAATTTATGCCATTCAATATAACACATAAACATTTTTTATTCATGAAATGCTACGGTTTCTTTTAAACCTACGTAAAAGATTTAGCAAATTATATCATAATTCTGTTTTAGACAAAGCAAAGCTATGGCAACCATTGCAAATAAAGAAGAAAGAGGGAAACATTGTTTTTTTCCCTCATTTCAGTACACTTTCTTTGTGCTGTCTGACAGTGAGCTAAGGATAAAAATGTGTGAATTTCTACATCTTAAGTTATTTTTTACACCTCACAAATGCATACTTGTTGAATATAGGGATAAGTAAAGATAATATTGATAACCTTGGAAAATGGTGTAATGGTATAGTAGATTAATGGGACTCGTATTCAACTAATTAAACAGCGGGATTAATTGTAAAAAGGTAAACAGAAAAACAATGTAATGCTCTCCCTTAAAATTCGTTCTCCCTTACATTTGTTTGTTGATCTTCTATCCAGTTTGATCATGATCACCGTGTGCTGTCCGAATTCTCAAATCCCTCCTGTTCTCAATTTTATTCGCCCAATAGAGTCAAGGTTTCCTCGACCGGTTTTATTGTCCTTTCTCTCCTTCAAACCAGAGATAGTAAAATCTTTCACGTGACAGGTGATCTGTCTGAGATGCCCAATGTTTCGGTTACTGGACCAGTGAAATCTTAGCACCCCACCTGCTGAATATTTTATCGGCTAATTTTGTTGGATAATGTCCGGCTGGGGTGTAGATTGCATGCGACTCGGACTGTGCCCTCAGAAATATAGGGATTGAAGGTATGAAGTTACCGGCTTGCTGGTGTGACTTGTAAGCAAAGTTCAGCCAACCAGAGCCATTGGAATCCTTCTCAACAACTCTTTGTCCTTGGAGACTTGGAAAGGACAACGTCGGCTTGCAGTTCTTTTATGTTATTTATAGCTAATAATAAACTTGAAGAACTTCACCCTCAAAGCGACAACACAACTTAAATGACAAACAACTCAGCTGTTCATCACAGGCTCACAACACAATCAGCTGCAGTATGTAACATCATGTGCATCGAGATCTACAAGATTCCTACAACCTATGATTACATAGGTATAGAAAATTATTTGTATATAGCACAGATAATACGCAGTATAACATATAAACTGTGTGCAATGTAACAAACTATACAGGATAACACAAACTGCACACGATATAACACAAGCTGTATGAAATCTGACGTAGGAACGGTACACAATATAACAAACAAATTATATATTAATATAACAAACAACTGTATACAATATAACAGAGAAACTTTATGTAATATAACTTTACGGAATTTATGTTTTTGCCTATAATCAGGCTGTGATCCACTTGCCCACATTAAAAGGAAAACTTAAATGTCTGTGGCTAAGCACAGGAACAATAGTAGAACATCTGAGTCATATATAAATTGTTCACATAAGTATATAATTAGATCACATAAAAACAGAAACTAACCACAAATGATATGATGGTATGGGACCCCTATAAAATGAACTGTCACTAGTGCTATTATGCACAAGCAAATCGCTAAATAAGAGTCAACTATCCCATTTTTTTCAAGTTCCAATTTTAGTAATTGTTTTTATTTTTTTTAAATGTACAGTGCACTGGGCACAGCATGGGTATTACATTTGCCCCTGCAATACTGTGCATGTCCACAACACTTCTAAAGGAATGTCCGAGCACATGTACGTTATAACTATATCTCTGTAGGTGCCCAAGGCATCATGGGGCGGTGAAGTCGCCATTAGCATAAAGGTAGAGGAGACAAGTGTATTTTTTTTTTAATATTAATTTTTTTTTACCTCCGATGTATTATGCAAAAGTGTTAATGCTTCAGTTACATCTACTGATCTGAAGTTACACGGAACTGTCACAACTACATTTATGCTTTAAAACCAACGGCAAAAACATAAAAACCATTTAAATGAAAAAAAGAGCGTCTTCAGACTCTCTCCGAATGTTAGAGGGGGCTCCAATGCAATAAAAATAAAATAAATAATTTTGGGCAGTTTTCTGCCTGGGCCCGATGAATGTCCTTGTCAAGCCATTGGAGTACCTCTGAAATAATTGTGATCTAATTTAGAATCCCTACACAGAGGTCGCGATCCAGAGACTTAAACACTACGTGGTGTGGGGTAAATCTTTCTTACATCAGACCGATTCTTCTGTGTGAGATAGCTATAAAGGCTTAGTTATTTTTTTAACTTTTTTTTTTTTAAAGTGAGTAAAGTAATAGACGAGATAAAAGGGAAAATACAACTCTCTTTTGACAAAATACAGATTTATTTTAATATGTAGTCCAAGATTCCTATTGTTCTATTTAAAAACTGGGTTGTGTCATGTTCTATAGCTGATAAGAGGAAGCTTGTAACCAATACAAGGCAATAGCTTTTGTGGCGGCTACCAGCGATTTAATAGCTAATTTATGTTCCCCTCTAGCAAAAGACTCCAAGGGGAGAGACAAAGGAAAAAACCAGAGGTCAGAGTCAATTGGCCCATTGAATACAAAGGATGACATGATCGAAAATTGTAAAAAAAATAATAATAAATAGTTGCCCTTGTGCTACAACAGAGTTCCAGTGTGGATTTACCTGGTAATGATGCACTGGGGTTGTATACCACTGAGACAGCATTTTGTAACTTTGCTCTTGCTAACCAACAAAAATATAGACCTTGAAGGTGGTCTCTGATATATATCCTCTTAATCTGTACCTTTCAAGTCACTACCTAGCTTTTTCTCACACCTCTGCATATAACTAAGAGCGAGATGCCTGTATGTTTAAGTTTGTTTATATAATATTGTGTATGTGGTTTGGTGTAATCTTTCCACTGTTTGTTATTAGTTTTTTGTTTTTTATGGAAATTCTTTCATTCATAGTTTCTTCTTTTATTAAGATGAGGTTTAAAACTATTTCAAAGTCGCCTTAAAATTTCAATTCGCAATATTTTGTTCGTATTTATCCTTTTATCTGATTTACTTATTTGAGTAATTATATGAGTCAGAGCTTTTATTTTTCCTGTGTATAACCACTGACATTTCAGTTATTCAGAATAACACACGTTAAAAGTGTTGTCCTTGCCTGATTCTCACTGTATCTCTACCAAAACGCATTCAACATCTTCTTTTCCGGAAAACAATCTCCATTTATCTGGACCTCCCAAAACCTTCCTGGCTGTTTTCTGTATATACTGCTTCTCTTGGAACCCTGATTAGCCCCTTTGCATTTCAGTACCAGTGAAGTTGAATTACCTATCAGTAAGGTAGGCTCTAACATAAAGGAACAGCTGCAGTTGTTTAGGGTAGGCATAGAGCTGCCAGTAAATTGGGGAATGAATGGTGAGTTTTTAGATGGAGAGAATTGAGAGAAGTGAGTAACCTAGAAAGCAGAATCCTCCTTCGAAAGGAACAAGGAGTCAGAGAGAGGTCTGGTGTATCGTTTCAGGAATCAGCGCATAATGCGATATCTGAGCTGTGTGTCTTTCCTTAGAAACAGCAGATCAGTCAGCGGCCGAGAAATGCAGAACATTGCTTTACCGTGGAGCAGAGACAAGACTCCATACTGCGCACTCATTTCTTTGCCAATCTGAAGTCTAGCCAGCTAGTTATATTAGGACAAGGAACTGATTTGCTTTAGTAATATAACAGGGGAGTCAAAGCTTAAGAACTTTGAGAAATGCCTAGAACCGTTTTCTAAAGATTCCAACTCTGACTTGCAGATTGATTTGCGTCCACTCCAAATCCCTTCAGACATACACACCTTCACTGCGGAGCCATATACTCTCAAACTAGCATGCACTCTCAAAACAGAAAGGATGGGACTAGGATGTTATATACTGTGGAAAGTTGAGCTCTAAGACACTAAATAACTAAATAAACTATTGTTTCACCATGGTGTAATACACATGTGAGCATACACATTTCTTTTGTTTACATCCCGTCTTGCCACGAACCACAATCTGCATCATCACACCTACTATGGTGAAACACACCAGGAGAAAAGTCTTGCACAATGTTTCCACTAGTCTTGTTTACTAAATCTGTATCCTTCCAGAATACATTTAATGAGTTTCATATTGTTTCATCTCCTTTACTCTTTATGATCATTTCAATCCTCTACCTGGATTCACCTAACACAAGCTGCCTGCTTACTTCCATCATTATTTTGATCATATTTATAAAGGGATCTTAAATGGATTCTGTTAGTTTTTCACAGTTTCAGAAGGCCAAATTTAGAATAGAGGAAAAAAAACTTAAGATTAGATTATTTTTGGAACTATAGGTTCCCTTTAAATTTCTACATTTATATGTTAAATTTGCCAATAAGTTCGGGGCGGGGCAGGACCGCCGAGCTGGACGGTCGCAAGCAAGAGAAGCTCCTGCAACACATCACCAAATAACACTAATACAACATGCCTTTTCATCTAAAAGCAGACCAACAGCAACGGTGCCCAGAGCTATGGGACTACTGGATCCAGGGAGAGGCTGGCTCATTGAGCTTTAGTCTCCTGGAGGAGAAACTTTCGTTGCCGCAACTGAGGCCTTCTCCAGCGTTGAGTGGGGTGGATGGCCACTGCCCCACTATCCTGCAACACAGATCCCAGCCAGAGGTACAAACCCGAGCGGACCCGGCCCTGTCTCCCCCCCATGGACCGGTGGAGGTGATCCTGGTCCTCACCCTGTGGCCCTGACCGAGATACCGCAGCCGAAACCGGGGGGTCCGACTGCTGCATCCAAGATGGCGGGCGGATGTGCGCAGGAGGCATGGGGAAGACCAGCTCCCTCCCTGTGCTCACAGTTGACATCGCGGCTCCTGCCTTCCGACCCTGCCATACAGGGAGGCAGGAAAACCCTCACCTACCCCTGCAGCCATACAAACCAGCGACGACAGCGGCTGCACTAGGGGGATTGAACTACACCGACCAGTCCCGCCAGGAAGGACCGAGCCTGCCACCAAGCAAGATACCCCTGCACGAAAACTGACTTCTTACTCACCTCCCCCCCAGCCTGAAACAAGACGACCCTGGAAACAGCAAACCGATGCAGATGACACCAAGCTCCCTACTACGGCTGACTCCAGCCCCCAGATGAACAAGAGGGGCAAGCTCAACCAACCACAACTGCAACCCAAGGGAATCCAGCAAGAAACCCAAAGTACAGCATGGATGTACTGGGCTCTGATGCCTGCTCTGACGGAAACTCACTCCCTGCTACACAGAAATAGCAGAACAGGTATCTGATAGTAGTGTGACTCCCCCTGTCTGTGAGGTCTTGGGACCACCATGATGATGGCCCTCCCCTCTGAGGCAGTTTGGGCAACCCCGAACAACCAGGGTGATAATTTTGATAAAGTGACCTACCTAGACCTCGTCCTGAATGTCACTTTATAATCTAACTGCACTAGCTAGCATTGTATACCTGCATGACTTGGGTCGTTAATAGACTAGCTTATGTACTGACCAAGCCTAATTACAGTTTAACCCCTTAAGGACCAAACGTCTGGAATAAAAGAGAATCATGACATGTCACACGTCATGTGTCCTTAAGGGGTTAAAGTTACTCTTAAAGTTGATTGCTTAAGCCTGACTATAATATAAAAATGTGCCTGATTAATCTTATGTCCCGCATGTTAAGCGAGGAAAATGCCCGAGGACTGCTTTTGGGGCACCTCATGTCTGATTGCCTGCAAAAATATATATTTTTTTTACAACAAAACAAAACATTGCTCAGGCTGTGAAGTGAGATATGTGTGCAGCAACTCATTGTACATACCTCCTGCTTCATGCATCCCG